GTTCGTAAGAAGCCCCGGTTCATTTATCTGGGATCGTTTGTAAATCAAGTTTAGTGTAAGTAAAAGGAGTGGAAGCATTCTTGTTTTTCTTTTACAGATTTGGTATCCCCAAAAAAGGTAGCAGCTGGTTTGAGAGGCTTGGTTTGTTGAAAGTGCTTGCTCTGAACCCATGTCAAGGTTTGTAGTATATCTTTGTCTCAAATGCTGCTTTTATTTTTGTTAGAGTTTGACTCGAATTCAAAGTGTCACAGATTAATTAATATATAAATATTAAAAGTAGGAAACCCAATTTGATTAAAAGTAAAAAACTTTATTAAAGTAGATTTCTACTTTATTTAGTTTTTCTTTGTAATCAAGTATTTATCTTTATAAATAGATACTAAGGGTCATGGTAGAAATCAATTTCTTTTCTTTCACCAAAATTATCTTGTATTTTCTTCTTTTATATTAGTAAAATTCTTCTCCTTTGCCTGTGGTTTTTCCCTTTTGAGTTCTCCACGTAAATCCTGGTGTTCTTTGTTTTTCCTTTTCGATTGTGTTTATTTATTTGTTGATAATCATCGTTCTGATATTATAACAAACTGGTATCAGAGCTTCAGGTTCAAGATTGTGGCAATAATGAAGTATGATATTTTGATGTTGGATCGAAACACCAGGTTCTCGCTATGGCATGTAAAGATTCAGGATGTTCTTGCACAATTAGATCTCGATGATGTAATAGAAGGATTTGATGAGAAGTCGAAAACACAATGAATGAATGTGGAAAAGTGTAAGGATTGTAAATCTCTTTCTCATATTCGTTTACACTTATCAAATCAAATTTTGCAGGATGTGTTGAAAGAAAAATCAATTGCATCTTTGTGGGTGAAATTAGTGCAACTTTGCATGCAGAAATCATTGACCTACAAGTTGCACCTAAAGTAGCTTCTTTATTCACTTAAGTTGGCGGAAGGTTCGTCGCTTGAAGAGCACATGACCGCATTCAAGGAAACTGTCTAGAGAATTTAGAAGTGAAGTATGATCAAGAAGACTTAGGATTGATCCTCCTATGTTTGTTGCGTCCTTCATACTCGTCTTTCAGAGATACAATCTTGTATAGTCACGAAACACTCACTCTTGAAGAAGTTTACAATGGCTTGCACTCGTTTGACAAAATGAAATATCTTGTATTTGGTTTCGAGTCCCAGGCAGATTGTCTCGTGATGCATTAATCGACTAGCTGAGACAGTGGGAGAAAAGGCAAGCGTTCTTTTGATAATAATGGAAGGGGTAGATCAAAATCTTCCAACCAAGGTAAAACTTGTCACTATTGTAAAAAGAAAGGTCATGTTAAATTGGAGTGTTACAAGTTGTAAAATAAAATCAAAAAAGAAGTTGAAAAGTATAACTCTGGGAAATCTGGTGAGGTGGTATTGTAGAGGAGTATGATGATGGAGAACTCCTAGTTGCGGCTAACGACAACTTTATAACAAGTGATGGGTGGATACTTGACTATGGTAGTAGTTTTCATATGATTCCTAATCGTGATTGGTTTGCGACGTATGAAGTTGTATTTATAGTAGATGGATTTTTGGGAAATAATGTCCCTTGTAAAGTCTCAAATATTGGCACAATCAAGATTAAGATGTTCGATGGGATTGTTCGAACACTTGGTAATGTAAGACATGTTCCAGATTTGAGTAGAAATCTAATTTCGTTAGGTACTCTAGATTCAAAAGGTTACAAATTCTCCAGTGAAGATGGAGCTATGAAAATTTGCAATGACTCTCTTATTGTGTTGAAAGGGCAGAGAAAGACTACCAAGTTTGATTTTCTACAAGGTTCAACAGTTTTAGATAGTACAGTTGGTGTTTCATCCATCGTGTAAAATAACGTTGTTGAACAAAATAATCGTGGGCATAATGGTTATGTGAAGCAAAAAAGAGTTCAATTTCGTGAACATAATGAATTTGAAGATAGAACTATCATTGATGATCGGGATCATGTTGTGCATGATATTGCTCATGGTGAAACATTTGTGAGCAAAGTTGACAGTTATGATAACCATGTCTATGTGAAGACTGAATGCAAGCCTAGAAAAGGCTTGGATTCAATCTGTGTCCATTACTAAAGATTATCCCCTTGAGGGGTGTTGTGGAAGAGGTGGAGAACTTGTTTGTTGAAGTGAAGAATTGTTTTTTTGTTGAGTTTGGATGTCACATCAAATTTGGGTTTTAGAATTTGTGTCAAGGTGGAGATTTGTTAGAGTTTGACTCAAATTCAAAGTGACACAAATTAATTAATATATAAATATTGGGAAAGTAGGAAACCCAGGTTGATTAAAAGTAGAAAAAATTATTAAAGTAGGTTTCTACTTTATTTAGTTTTCCTCTGTAATCACGTATGCATCCCTATAAATAAATACTAAGGGTCAGGGTTATAAATCAAGTTCTTTTCTTTCACCAAAATCCTCTTGTATTTTATTCTTTCATATTAGTAACTTTTTGGGTTTTTCACGTAAATCCTGTGTTTTTTGTTTTTCCTTTTCGATCGTGTTTATTTGTTTGTGAATAATCATCGTTCCGATATTATAACAATTTTCGATTTGGACACCTAAAGAATAGGAGTAGGATTTCATTGCAGGGATGTGTTGTGCTTGGCTCTATGACTGGCAAACTACTCCATTTGTTATTTGCTTGTTCTGGAAGGTTTCTTTTTGGCAGAGTATAAGTTCTGCGGTACTGGTTTTTAAGGTTCTGTGGCCCTGTTGTTTCAAGGATTGAACATCGTCTGGTACCTCTTCCCAGTTTCTGTCGATGGTTAGGAGTTGGTCCACTGACGAATTTATTGGCATGTTTTAGTAGAGGTTCATGCATTTTCTTAGAATGAGAATGGCCATGATTTGTGGTGTAGTTCCGATTTCCGTATGAGGTGTTCTTTCCTATTTTGGTTTTCTTGCTCGATTCCTATCAATTGCTTGATTTTCTGCTTCTTGAATTGTCCTGGTTGATCGATATTTAGTTGTGTATTAAAGAGTAGAGTAGCACGTTAGTGTAAGTAGCTGTTTGAGCAAGTGCTTGGTTCTCTGGCTGTAAAGTAATGGTGCAGCAAGGTACATGTCTCTCTAGGATGATGCTGTATTGATCCGAGGGCCCATGTTTTGGATGGCATTGTTCTGTGGGCGAGATCCTTTTATGCGGAGAGTTTGGCCTGTTGTAACCTTGTAGATGGACTCATGGTTCAGCTCGGTTTATTTCGATCTGTTATGTGAAGCTTATTGAGAATTGGTTTTGCAGTATTAGCGTGTATTAGTCAATTCATGCGCGGATTGTTCAACTACATGTCTTCCGCTGCCGGACATTGACTTGAGACACTTTTTTTACTCCACCTGGATATAGTAACTTAATATGTATCACAAGCATTTCTTTACTTATAAATTAAAATATATAAAATAATAAATTTCACATCTTTTTTACAAAGGTCTCGATAATTATATCAATCGAATTCAATTCAATTGGTAAATATCTTTTTATTTAATTATATTAAAAAATGATCAAATTTAATTAATAAAATTAAACATGATTTAAATTAATTATTGAGTGGATTCTACACGTCCCTGGAGCGAATTTGGTCCAAATCATATAACAAGGTTGATTGGAGAGGGGCCATTCCACTTAAAGTTAAAGGTTGCTCCACCTGGCTCACTTTCGGACCCTCCCGTCCCCACACAAACTTAAAAAATTCAATTCAAGGACAAATGGCTCAACACCCTTTTCAAGATACATTATTATTATGGATAACTTCAATTTAAATTACCAATAACCAACCCCTCTTTTATTTCTCTCCCACCAATTTGCCTCCTACAATCAAACACAAACTCTTAAAGTCATAATATCAAAACTAACACCTCAATATTTATTAAAATGACTATTTTGGTCTTTATTGAGTATTTGACTTTAATGTTTCATTTTTCCACAAAAAAAAAAAAAGCTTCTTCACGGATTGAAACCATATCATTGACCACACAATTATTTAGTCATTTTATTTTTACCACTGATCTTTCAAGTTTATCAATCAAACCACCTAATTATTTAATTATATTAAATCAAGCCACTTACGTTAATATTTAATGGAAGTACTGACGTTGCAGCTAATCAAATTGGTATAATTATACATTTAGTCCTTAATATTTATATAATTTATTAATTTAGCCTTAATTTTAAATTAGTTTAATAAATTAAATGGCTATATAGTTAGGTGGTCAACGAGATAATTTATCAAAAAAGTTATGAAAAATAATGTAATTAATATTTTATTTTAAATAATTTACCCTTAAATTTTTAACTAATTTATAATTATATATTTTATTTAGAATTTTAAAATTTTATCAATTAAATTAATGATGCTTATCATTAATCGTATTCAAAGTGCTCATCGAGAGTCGTAGAATTTTCCTATATTAATAGCATAATTTACAAAAAATATTAAATAATTATATAATACATAAAATTAGTAAAAATGAGATAAATATTTAAAAGAAGAGTACTATTAATGTAAAATATTACTTTTAAGAAAAAATCTCTTAAATCAAACATAAAAATATATATCTAAAAAAATATGAGTCTCTAACTAACTAGTTCACTGTTATTAGGGGAATAAGGGATATAAAGCAAGTGCGTAGTCCTCACGCCAAAGGTGGTTCACTTTGCTTACCACATCATTTCCCCTTTCACAATAATTTTGCTTTCCAACGCCCCCTTTCCTTTTTAAAGGTTGAACCGTTTCAAACTCATTAAACCCACATTTCATTGATGCAAACAATAAATAAAAACCGTAAAGATAAATTCAAATAATTGAGCGAAAATTAAAGAAAGATTCAATACAGTTACATCACCTATGCTAAAACCTAACGCACCCACCCTTGAACCTTTTTTGAAACTAACTCGGGCCTTTTGAACCGGAAACAATAAACCGGGCTCATTGTCTCACTCTATTTTCCTATTCAGTATTTTCTTTCCCTACTGCTCTAAAATATATTTGGCATTTGTCTAATGCGGTAATGTTATCCAAAACTTGGCGCAACTGGAGGAGCTAGACCGGGTTCGGCCTCACCCGATGTTTCCTTCTTGCGTCGCATCTCCAGCACTTTCCGGTGATGGTTCGAGTGCAACTCGATTGAAAAAGTTGGGCTACAAGCCGGTCTATACTCGGGTAAAAGCCTACCCGACTTAAACCTGACCCCACATGCGTTACATAAGGTCTTAGCCCCCATTGGACCGGCTCTCCATTGTGGCGTCTTCGTAACTCCACAATGACTGCACCTACGCGTCGGCTGGGTCCCATTGCAACCTGTCGAGTCGGTCGACGGTCTCTTCATATGCTTCTGAACCGGCGGCTTTTCCACAGAAACCAGTTCGGACAGTTCAAAGGTTGAACCGGAGCAACTGTTTGGGCAAAGCAGCCAAGGTGAAGGGCTGGAGGAGGAAGACGATGACGTGGAATTCGAAGATGATTCTGTAAGTGAAGGGGAGGCGACAAGGGACCAAACTCGGCCGCCGGTTCGGGCACGCTTGCTTCTGGCTTTCGCCGGAACAGGCGTTTCGAAACACGTCGTAATCGGTATTTCCTGTTCAGGCACTTTGTTCACGAGTAACGTTCCGGAGGGGTACGCCATAGAGTGCTCCGAGAAAGAATCCTCAACGAAATGAGACAACCATTCAAGGTTTTCAACGTCATCCGCCTGTAAAAATGTAACTTTTTTCAGTTTTCGCCATTAACAACCGCTCATCCTTAAAAACATAACAACAAAAGGGAAAATTTTCCTTAAAAGAAAAAGGTGTTGTTCGTTTTTCAAGTACCGGAACAGCAAGTTCGTTGGTGGATAAGGAAGTGTAATCGAAATTAGTACTACTGTCGTTGGAAAAGATTATGTCTTGGCTTAGCTTTTGTCTCTTAGGCGAAGAAGAAGAAGAAGCCGGCACTTCTTCTTCTTCTTCTTCTTCTTCTTCATGTTCACGTTGTTGTTGAAGGAAACCCTCTTCATTACTAAAGTCAAAGAGGTCGTCAACGGAGAAATCATCGCTAGAAACACCATTTTGACCATTAACAACCCAAATATCTTCCAAAAACGCTTGGGGGCTTGATGTCATAGCCATCTCCTTTCTAAAGCTGCTCTTCAAGGCTACTCAATGCATTCCATTTCCTAAAACAAACACAAGAAATGAAAAATAATTGAGAATCTTCAAAAAGAAAGCACTTGAAAAAAAAACAAAAGGTAAAGATTTTCTAAAATGGAGTACCTGAGAGAAGAAGGGGGTGTTGAAGAGAGAGAGAGAGGATGGGTTGGAGAATGAAGGTAAAGAAGACGACGAGGGAATTGGGAGAAAAATAAATAAAAGGGGAGGGGCGGTGATGTGTTTGGTGAAGTTCTCTTTAATTTTTACTTTTCTCTCTTTCTACTGTTTCTTCTACATCCAAAAAAGAAAAAAAAAGATTTATTGTATTCCTATTTATTTATACGTTAAACTTTCTTGTATTTATAAACGACCTTAATTAAGATAAATAAATAAAATGACTGAATTTACGAGGATTGCCCTTAAAGAATATGACTTTTCACTGTCTGCAACCTCAAGTACCTTTTCTTGGGGGGGGGGGAAACGGAGAGAGAGGGGGTTGCCCGGTCCGGCCCCGGCCTAACAAGAGACTTGGGAAAACCGCCACCTTTATGTTTTTAATTTTTGTTTTTTTCTTTTTCTTCTATAAGAACTTGGTTTGGCCCCTCTCTTTTGACCAACCTACGTTATTTGCTACCCGCGTTATCGCCGCTCTTGGCTGTTTAATGGTTTAACTCTTCATTTCCTTTTCTTGTTTTGTTTTCAATATAATATTTATTCCTCACTTTCGTTCTATTTATTTTATTACGAAATTATCCTTAAAGCACCGAAAATTAAAATAGGATTGATGTCGTTTTTTTTATCTGTTATCTTTTCTCGACATAGTTAGAGAAACATTGTAAGAAACTAGATTTTATGCTAAATTAAAACTATTTGATGCATTATATTAAAATCGACCATAATTATCATCTACATTAACCAAAGTTATCATCTTCTAAGTTAATTTAAGAGGAATTTATATTTGAAACTTATGGTTACGACTTTTTAAAAGTTATTTTTAAAAGTGTGGTTGAAAAGAAATTTAAAATTACATTTTTAAAATTTAATTATTTGTGATTGTTGTTAAAAAATAAATTTGAAAAGATAAAATGTATATTATAACATTATATTGTAAATTAAAAAAACGAAAATTTAAAATACATAAAATATATCAACTTAAACTATAAGAAAAATGTAAAATATATTTTAAGACAACTCATTAATAATATTTTATTAAGAAAAAATATATCATTAATACTTTTTAACATGTGGACATAAAATTATTACAAAATAATAATATAAATACTTGTTTTGACAAAAAGAAGCCTTTGAAATTTTAAAAGGTAAGTTATGTACTGCCCTATCCTTCGTGTTCCCAATTTTTCTAACACCTTAAAACTAGAATTTGATGCTTCAAGTATAGGCATAGGTGCAGTTCTTATGCAAGAAAAACAACCTTTCGCTTACTTTAGTGAAAAGTTAAACGCTACACAATTGAATTACTCCACCTATGACAAAGAATTTCTAGCATTAGTTCGTGCACTCGAAGTGTGACAACACTATTTTCTTCCTAAAGAGTTTTTCATACATACGGATCACGAATCATTGAAGCGGTTAAATGGACAATGTAAGTTAAACAAGCAACATGCTTGATGGGTTGAGTTTATTGAATATTTTCCATATGTAATCAAATACAAACAAGGGAAATATAATATCGTAGCCGATGCATTATCTCAAAGGTACACATTAATTACTCAAATGCATGCTACTATCCTGGGTTCTGAACATGTTAAAGAACTTTACTATACCGACCCAGACTTTTCTAAAATTTACACCCATTGTTTAGTAGGTTCTTTTATCAAGTTTTTATCTTGTAGATGGATTCCTTTTTTGACTAAACAGGTTGTGTATCCCACAAGGCTCACTGAAAGAGTTCTCAGTTCACGAATCGTATTCAGGAGGATTAATGGGTCACTTCAGTGTTAACAAGACACTCGACATGGTCATGAAACACTTCTTTTAGTTGCACATGAGGAAAACCATGGAAAAAGTATGTGCTTCATGAATCACGTGCAAACAAGCCAAATCTAAGGTAAATCCTAACAGTTTCTACACTCCGTTACCAATTTCCTCCTCGCCTTGGATTGATTTGTCGATGGACTTTATTCTTGCCTTACTTCGCACCAAGAAAGGGCGAGATAGTATTTTCGTGGTTGTGGACAGGTTTTCAAAAATGACACACTTCATTCCATGTCATAAAACAGATGACGCCACACACATTGCTGGTCTATTATTCTGAGAGGTAGTACGATTTCATGGCATCCTTCGCACTATTGTATCCGATCGAGATACAAAATTCATAAGCCACTTTTGGAAGGTATTATGGGGTAAGATAGGTACGAAACTTCTATACTCCACCACTTTTCATCCTCAAACCGATGGAAAAACCAAGGTAATAAACCAGATTCTAGGTTTTTACTTAGAGCGGTTGTAGGTAAGAACACTTATAGCTGGGAAGAATGTTTGCCTTTTGTTGAATTTGCTTATAATATATCAATTCATTCTACTACAGTTATTCTCCATTTGAGATAGTTTATGGTTTCAATCCAGTAACTATTTTGGATCTCATTCCTTTGCCTTTATATCACATTATAAGCATCGATGGAGAAAAGAAAGCAGAGATGGTCAAGGATATTCATGCCAAAGCTAAACAAAGGATGGAAAAAATACGAAGTAGTTGCAAACAGAGTTAACAAGGTGGCGCCATGTTGTCTTTGAACCAGGTGACTGGGTTTAGATCCACTTGAGAAAGGAAAGGTTTCCAAAGCAAAGGAAATATAAACTTGATCTGCATGGTAATGGACCATTCCAAGTCCTTAAGTGAATCAATGACAATGCTTACCGCATCGATTTCTAGGTGAGTGTAAGTGCATCCGTTAATGTTTTTGATCTATCTTCTTTGATATTTCAGATTCGTGGATGAATACTTTTAAAGAGGGGGGAGATGATACATGTACGACATGTCACAGGACAAAAGAAGATGGACTGATTCTTCCACTTGGTCCAATCACACGGGCCAAGTCCAAACTTCTGAAAGATAAGCTTCAAGTTGTTATTCAAGCCTTCGTTAGCAGGGAACTTCATGCTCACATGGAGATTGAAGAATTAAATGAAGAAAATTCATTACACATTCCTACTACATCTACTTGGATCTCAACAACTCAAGTTGAAACAACTTCAAGATCAATTAATGACATAACTAGAGACAATCCTAAAAATATCTTTAAAATCCCTTAAAGGATCAATTTCTAAATATTACAAATTTTTAATATTTTATTGATTATTTGTAATATAATTTAAATGCATTATCTTTTGGAATTAGATTGATTATTTTATTAGCAATTAAGAACAAGTTAAAACATTATGCCTATTTTATTATTATTTTATTGGGAATTAGGATAGACTCGAAACATTATCTTTTATTCATTAGTCATGTTACAACAAGGACTTCACACCCTAAATAAAAGAGGCTTCTCCCACCATTGTAAACACATCTTTTCTTGAATATAATACAAAGAGAGTTCGTTTTGCAAGTGATGATTGCCTTGTGCCTTCGAAGCATTCTTCATCATTAAGTTAAGTTCTTCGTGATGGAGATATTCACACTCCGGTTTGCCTTCTCATTGCGATTAGGAGGGTTGGTTAGAGCCAATTATTGAGTTTGCCTAGTCAATTGATGCTAGGAGGGTTCGTAGGACAACTATCTATCAATCATCATCATTGAATCACCATTCTCGCCCATCACCAACAAATCCCTAACTTGGATAAGTTATTCCTATCTTATTATTATTATTATTAGTTTCCCTTATCTTTATTTTATCTTTATTGCTTTAATCTTATTCTTCTTATTCAATTTCTAGAAAACCCTTAAAACCTTAATTGCCACTGCCCCTCCATCTCTTTCCCCTTCATTCTTTGATCGAGTCTAGATCTTTCTAGGTTTGATTTTTCAACGACGAGCAAAGTTCATAACTCTGTTGCCATTCTTTATCAATCACTCTTTTGACTGCTCTCTACTTTTTAGGGTAACCTAAACCTCTAACATTTCATGATATGAAGCAAAAATGATTGGTATTCAGAGCACATACTCATAACACACTGACCATTAAAAATGGTAAAATTAACTCAGGCTACATCCACCTCTTCCAATTCCTGGAAGTGCCTCTTCGCAAGTCATCTGAAACATCAAACTCCACACCCAATCTTTTTACCGTATCAAAGATTGCTTCTACTTTCATCCTTGAATGACTTGTCATAACATTCTTGGATCTTTTGCCCTTATTCAGGGTTGTTTCTATTTCCAACCTCAAATGACTTGTATCCTCAATCATATTTAAAACAATCTTGGTTGTATAGCAGATTATTTTTTAGAGGTTCAGATTGCGTTGAGTAACTCTTTTCATGGCTTTAGTTTTCTTACCCCCGTGCAGCTTGGATTTGTGTCTTTTGTTGGGCTTGTTCCTCTTGTATGGGGATAAGACCATATTCGGGGAGAGCCCAATTAGATTGGAATTATTGTTTGTGATGAGTTCGATGGAAACCTCTTTGAGATTTGACCTATTAGAAATATATTGGGTATTGGTCACCACTCTGATAATGTGACCATCCATAATCCATTCATTTCCTTTAGATACTGCGGACTGAGCTTCTGACCAACTTCTAAACCTCACGAACATAAAAGTTATATTCTTCGATATCCTTCTCGGTTTGTTGTATGCGATGAACACATCATGAACCAGATCGTACATCTGGAAAGCTTCGGCGAGCGTTTTGGGATGTATTCTCTTACTCACATTGGTCAATAATATTGAGAAATCATGTCGTCGGAGATGAGAGTAGTTTGCTTCGATGGCCCTATTAGCTTCATCTTCTCTTCGTGAAAACTAAAGCTAATGCTTCTTCTTCTTCTTTTTGATTTAAGAACAGACCATCCCAATGGAGAAACTAATTTGAACCAATCTCCATAATAAAAGATTAAATTGATCCA